CATTTTTTAAGATCCCTTATTACTTTTGTCATGTATCAATATCTTTAGACTTATTGTGTACAAATTTATTTTCATTTGACCAAACTAATTACATATACTGAGGAAGTTACAATGATTAATGTCTTATTTTGTAAGTATCAAATGAATTATCCAATGTCTTTGGACAATAATTATTTGTGAAATGTTAGAAGAGAATAAAAACAAATAAAAAGATTGATGTTATTTAGTAATTTAATGTTCTAAAAAATATAACTTTCTCCCATGCCCCAAAAAAATTGTAATTGTTCCATAATAATTAATCAAGTGAATCATAATCAACTATATTATCAACATATTTGGATCGAGCCCTAAGGGCCTTAGGTTCTAGATCTCTTGGAACTTCAAATTCCAGTGTTCCATCACCCTTTAGGCTATACAATTATAAAATTTAATTGAAGGCTTATGCCAATAAACTTAACATATAAGATGATGTGAAAAAAGAACATGATTAGTGTTTAAAACCAATAGTGACCATTTTGTTTTTTTTTTACCCAAAACATTCATAAGGTTTCAATCATTAAAATTTTTATTGGCCAAAGGATTCTTCATTTCTCCCAAGAAAAATGATTACACATAAAAGAAGATTGTCAACACCCCACTATTTAAAATACCCAACAATTCTATAATAATTGAAGCAGATAAATGATATCAAAGTCAGCCTATCCTTATCTTAGTTGGTCTGGTTAGTAAGTAGCTATTCCTAGGTAATAAAACTTTTACCATTAGCCATTGGAAGGAGGACAAAAGGATGCTTAGAAACCATCAAAAGGGGTGGGGAAGACAAAATTTTATGGACCACAGTAAATCACCTTTTCTTGGATGGGAATTTTGTCATCAAAAATTTGTGTTGGATCCTCAGGTTGTAAATATCTCTACCTTCCCATTTTGGATCTTTCCAATTTAGAATGACTTGAACTTACAAAAGGGATTGGATGGAGAGATTAATACATGCCTTATCCATACTAACACTTAAAATTTTATAAAGTTAACTCATTGTGAATTATTTGTCTTTGCCTAAGCTTCTTCCTTTTCCAAAAGACTCCCTTGAAAAACTAAAATGGATTCCATGAAAAGGTAACCCAACCACTCCCTATGACTATCATTCTAGCAGCATCTAAGCTCACCTATTCTCCCTTCACCCTTACTTCTTCCTTTAAAAGTTTATCATATTCTTTCTGAGTTATGACCAATTGTTCCTCTGTTATGCCCCATTTTCCAATCCCTTATGTATCCTTTTGTGTGTTTGGTTGGGACTCATTAGAAGCATAAGAAGATATAAATTTTTGATATTAAATCATTTGAAAGTAACAAACTCTAAGTGTCCATCCATTACCTGCTTAGTAAGAACAACGTAAGTCTCGCCTTCTAATTCCAAAAGTATCAACACTACTACAGCTGGTCCATATGCAAATATGATTCTTAAAACCTACTTAAGGTTTAGGTTTAACATATAATCAAAACAAAATGAAACAAACATGAGGTGCACAACATGTTATTCCTTGAAACAGAAGAAAGATTAGGTGCCTAAACTATAGGTCCACAAATAGTAACAAACAGGTGAATACTTACATCATAACACCAAGAAAAATGAACCAATTATCTGTCCCTCCTAAGTTGCTTTCTTAGAAGAAAAGGGAGAAAAAGTTAAGTAACAAATAAAACTATTGAAAGATGTAAGAATAGGAGAAAAAAATCCAAGAAGATTCATAGTTCACTACTATTGACAAGTTAACACAAATGAATGCTAGAGAAAGTAAATTTAGATGGATGAAATTTTGTGTAGAAAATTGGATACCTTTTGGCCAGTTTCTTTGTCAGCAATGTTGGCTTTGAATTTGAGAAACCCAATTCTCTTTCCAAACATATCAACTCTGTTAGTATGCACACGAAAATAGTCTAACAAATGACAAGGATTTGAAGAAATCAGTGCCACCATATTACCATATCCTCTACATTAAAATGAAATCCTTACAAAGACCATGAAAAATATTTTTACTTACTGTCACTCTATAGTCTTTTGCAATTACATTGAAAATGCATGGCAAGTTATTGTTTGTTTTTATGTGCAGTTTTAGTAATCAGTTCAGAAGAAAATTAAGACATGACCCATATTGACCATGCTTCTATCATTGCTTTGTCAAAGGACTTAATTGCTTATTTCCTCGCATCAATAAAAACATAGATGAACAACAAATTTCAAATAGACAACACAGAAAGAAACCAAAACTTGTATTTTTCTTGGTTAATTTTCAAGCTTCTTTCAATCCTCCAGAAAATATTATCCTCCTCAATGCAAGAGAACCATGTACAGAAAGTAATATAAATATCATCTTACAATGTACATATAGTATGCCACTGCACCAAAATTAAATATCAATGATAGGAAAATTCAATGAAAATTTAAAAGACAAACAATTAACTAAAAGTGCGTGCGCACTATAACTTTATTTACAGAATATATAAGAAAAGACCTTTGTTATTCTAATAGCTGAATAGATTTTGTTATTCCAATAGCTGAATGGATTTTATTATAGACAAGTTTCTTTGCCAAGAAACAAATTGGATATAATTAATATTGTGGCAATAGTTCTTTCCCATAACCAATCTAATATTGGATAGACATAGGAAAGCTGATTCCAATGCTTTGTTAGGCATTTCCTTGAAATTTGTCAAAAACAATATCATTGGCCAAAATTAGTAAAAATTATGCACAAAAAAATTAGTAAAGAAATTTAGTGTCTATAAAATTAAAAACAACATTCACATGTTTTTATAAGGTGATGATGAAAGAAGTGGTATTAGAAATAAAAGCTTAAAAGTTTTTGTCACATACGTGTCTACCACATGGACACATGGTATTGTTTAAAAATCGTTCTCACTAGATTATTGAATGTGGTCCACAATGGAGTACTTAATTGGTTAAGGATGTTATCAATCGAGCCTACTGGCATATTCATTGAGATCGAATCCAGCTACATCACCATCAACTAAAACTTAAGGTCTACATGAACTTGAAAATGCTACTATAGGAAACTTCAATTAAAAGAATTTTTTCTCAAAAGAATGCAAATACAAGTTCAAATTTTTTACTATAATCTAATTTAATTCCCAAGTTTGTGAAGAAGAGAAAGTCCTAATTTACTCATGGCATAACCTCAAAAGAAAGAGATATACTGTAACATCTAACCCAAGATATAGAACTAAGCATGGATAAAACCCACAAAAAAAAAATCTATGGAGCTTCTAAATCAAGGATTGAATACTAAACTAGAAGGAAGCAGAGAAGAAAATTCATAGCAAATATACAAGCAATTCGGTTCAGTACTCTAGGATGGTAGATAAACTCATAATAGCAGCATGTAGCCAGAAATTTTGATCCTTATAAAGACCTGATCGCTAAAGCGAAGAAAAAGTATAGTTTGTGATACACCATATTTCACTTGAAAAACACTACCATTGATACAACTCAAAAATGGTTTTACTTGTATAATGTTTCACAGACTAAAGGAAAACAAAAATCAAGTAATTTGGTTAATAATGTTCCAAATCATTTTGGGAAAAAATTGGAAGATATCAATGCATGCATTGTCCTTTATCGAAAAAATAATAAAATAATGAACTAAGTAATCAATGATGAGAAAGAAAAAGAGAAGAAACAAATTACCCTTAAATAGCACTCCTGCATTGAATAAAGAGGAATCAATAGTGCTCCTATACATGTATCTCAACTTCTGCAGCAAATTTTACAATATGCTAAATTAGTGAGCAATTTAGGATTTAAGATATTGAGCATATCAAATTAACCTCTTTAGTTCACCAAAAAATTAGATCCACGGCTTTAAATTTGCACGAGAAATGATAAATATTAGTAGTAATTGTTATAGTTTGGATAGATAAACCCAGGAATAAAGTTGACGAACACTTTGGGCACGCTCCTCCTTCGTCGAATCTCAATCAGAAGGGATGACAGTTAATAGTATTGATGGAGGGGACGATGATGTCTAGTAGCTGAAAATGACGAGGATGGTAGAGGATCTCTAAGGGTGAATCTCCTTCTACTTCTTCAAGGACTGCATTCAAGATAACATAGATAAAAAATACTACATCCAAGATAGCAACAAAATAAAATGCAACCCTATTAATGATTTATAACTACAAAAACGACCAACCACAAGAAAAATTCAAAATGTTGCCTAGTACCATGGATAAAAATTTAGGCATAGAAAATGAAAGTTTAAACATTAGTTTAGAAGAGGAGAATAAAAACCTAAACCATTTGAATGTCCAAAAACCTTCACAAAAAGACATTGATGATCAATAAAGTCATCAAAAAGTTACGGTAAGGGCTTACTGGCACCACTTGCTAACGAAACTCACGCGCCAATCTCAGATCAGGCTTTTAAGCTGCCAAATCTCTCTCTCATGCTTTTCACATTCGTGACTTTGTCTGGGAATGAAGACGAAGAGGCTGTGTGATGATAATAATAGAAGAGAAGTTTGGTCTGTGGGAGAGATGATGAGAGGGCGGATGATTAATCCCAAGGATAGAAAGGCCTAGAAGGTGAGAGTGAGGAAGATAGGATAATTTTCTGAAATAATAATAATGGACACAAAAAGATGGGACCCACATAAAAAGGATATTTAGGGAAAAACACGGTAGATGAACAACATCAAGTAGGGCCATTTGAGGGAAAACACTGTATATGAACAGTATAACAGTGAAAAATTAGATGGGCTTTAAGATATATAAGATTTCTTCAGGGGTTTTCAGATGTTCCCTAAAAATTATGCTCTGTCTATTACAAAATGGACCTGAGAAACCAAACTGCAGATGAGAAAAATAATGGGCTCAACCAAATAGGCCCAATGACATTGAACCAAACCACAGTGCGGACTTTTGCATTTTAGGATATATGTTCTCTTTTTGTTTTTGGGTTCAAATTACATGTTCAAATATGCTGAGCCTGAACTCCGTGGTTTCTCACTTTTCTCCTTTTCTCCTTCTTGAATTTCATTCACTACACTGTGGCGCTTAAAAAGATGGAGACGGCTTCGAAGGCATCGGAGGAGCCGGAAGTTGTGTTAGAAGCCCTGAGAACAAGAGGTTGGTGTTTCGGAGACCTGCAGCAAGTGAAGGCTACGATCACCATTCACTACGTTCTAGCCATTGATGCAACGAAGGTGGTTGATTCTGTTGAGTCGGAGCTATTGAATTTGGACCTTCGATTAATCGGAGGCAAGTCCTTGCCCGACCCTTCTCGTCTTCGCAAGTCTTCTTATCTTCAGGGCCCCAAAGTCCTACAGGCAAATTATTACCCCTATTTCTACTTTCTATTGAACTCTGTATGTTTGCATTTGTATAGTGGACGAATCAAAATCTGGGATTTCGTGCTTTTTTTAGATACTGTGTGGATTTACTAGTGGACGAAAGTTATGGATTGATGTTGCTTCTAAATCCTGATTACGGTTCTTTAGTTACTTTTTCTTTTAAATGATAAATTATACTTCTGATCATAGTATCCCTCACTTGTTTTAATTTACTTTAGTTCTTATGATTTGAAAACTTGTAATTGAGACCTTATAGTTTTCAAGCTTTTTAAATTAGCCCTTTCTTTTTAAATGCCAATATTTTTGTTCAATTTTATTTGTGTAATTAATAACTATATGTTGTCTTGCTATTCAAAATTCCAAACATTACGATTTGTACTCACGAAAGAGGTAAAAGTATGGATAATGAAGCAAAATCAATCGTATATTTAATAAAAAATTAACAAAACTACGACGAGGGACTACGCTAAGAATTATTTAAACTCTAAAGATTTAATTACAATTTTCTTTTTAAATTATTCGGACTAGATTAAAAATTTATTGGAACAAGAAAGGCCAACAGTTTAATAATGTTTTCATTTTTTTTGGCTAATGCTTTGGTTATTTATTCTCATACCATCAACCGTAGGCAGTGGGAATTGGTTTTCTTGAATCTTATGACTCCAGAACTGCTTTAGTTATACAGTTGCACACTCTCTCTTCATACATCATGACTTTTTTTTTGGTCCTGGTTCGTTTGAGCAGATATCTTCAGTAAGGGACATTTCTAGTAGTACTGTGGATGAATTTTCAAGAAGCTCAGGTGATCGGCGACTTCTTAGATTAGGTCTCACAGATGGGAACTCTGATATAACTGCCATAGAATATTCTCACATCCCACTTACGCCTGATAATGTTGTTCCTGGCACTAAGGTACTGAAATTCTCTTTATACTTGGTTCTCCTAGTAGATTAGACAGACGGAGGAGAGAGGAGGTAAATGTAATGTACTCTTTTCGGTCCTAAATGTAGGGATCTTCTAACTATCTCACAAGGACCAAAGGGGAGGTAGTTAAATCATTAAAATGGTCTAAGAATTAAATGACCTTCCAAGTTTACTCCAATTTGAAAGCATGAATTTTAAAAAGAAAACCCTAATTAATGTTCCACCTTTTTATGTAAAGTGGCTAATATATGGGACCATCTAATTGTTCTAGAAGGTGACTAATATATAGGATTGGAGAGAGTGGCAACTATGCTTTGTTTTTATGTTAGACTTGCATGGGCTTAATCAGGCTGGCTCCCTTAAACATATTGTGAATGTGAGTTAAGCGTGCTATAAGGCATATATTGGGGTTGTAATTCTAAGTATGTTGTCAAATGTCAGGGTAGTTCAATAGTTTTGTCTGTAATTCTAAATGTTTGACTACAGTCAATAACTTGAATTTCAGGAATAAAAATATATGTGGTTGATAAATATTCTGACATGTGACCTGGTCAAAATTAAATTTTTGTTAATGTGGAAAATTTAGAATGGTAGTTTAGTTTGATATGAAATCTGAAAATGTCAATGTTTTAATTTTTAAGTATGATAAATGGGATTAAATCTGAAGTTTGGCTTGCTTTTGGCAATAAAAGCACATATGATGATTGTGAAAAGCTCGTTTTGGTGGAATGACTAGCTTGGGTATAGAAGAGGCTATATCTGGAATTTAAAGCTCTTCCAGTTGTAGTGATGTAGTTGTTTAAGTCATTAGAGAGAGAGGTGGAAGAATTGTTCCCATGGTAGTTGAGGTCTTTGGGGAGTATTGATTGAATGATTGGTAGTTCTGTTTAGAACCAATGGAATGCTTGAGATTCTATAGAAGGGTCCTGCAAATTGATGGGCACTTGCACTTTAAAGCTCCTTTGGTATTGTTGCTCTTTCAGTTTAGCTGGGAAATTCTGGTTTATGGCTTGTAACTATGTGCTATAACGCAGTGCTTATTCACAAAAGCAATATGAAATTATTGGTTTTGTTTGTCAAGTCACTAATTTTTGCATGGTGGTGGACAATAGTAGTAATAAGAGTCAGGTAAATATTGGTGTTTTGTGCTTTGAGCTGCATTGTCAAGCTTCAAGTTGCTGATAGCTCTCATTTCTTTCTTGGGGAAAGTATAAGTTGTGTTATGATGTCTTGTATACAAACGCTGTTATAAGATAACTTCTGGTCTGTAATTTGGTAATGAAAGTTTTCATCAGTTGATGCATGTTTTGAAATATTTTAATTGATACAGTTACTATTTGTTAATTATGATTGACCTAAATATTTGTTTTAATTGGTACAGTTATATTTTCTAGGTTTCTACTACATTATATTATTGATCTATTGTTCTCTTTTTCTTTCTCTTTTACGTGTTTGTTTGCATCATGTATCCTTATTGTGTGCATGTTCTTGATTATTATCATTTTTAATTAATTGATATCGCTATCATATTCTATTTGACAGGTTCGTTTGGAAGATAAAACTGTGATTCGTGGTGGTATAGTTTGTTTAAATTCTGGAGTATTGACCATATTAGGAGGTGTTGTTCAATCGCTTTATGACGAATGGCAGATGAACAAAAAATATTCAGGATTCTCTCGATCATCTTTAAGGAAGGTAGAAGAAAGTGAAGCAGACAGACCTCCTCAATTTGTGAAGCTGCATGTTGGATCTCCCTCAGGTCAGTTTTGCTTGAAAGCATGTTGGTTTTATGCTCTTCCTCTTCTATGGGAGTAAAGCTAAAAGTATAAGAAATTAAGGGAGACTTTCGCATGGGAATTAACGTGGCAAATCATTGTGGCAAGTGCTCAAGCAGAATAATAATAGTATGATGAAGGGAAACTATTAAGAACATAAAGTGAGAATCTCACTCTAAATAATCTTAATAGCCAAAAGCCTAGGAGATTCTCCAAATATGGATGAAATAACTTTTGTTTCAATCAAAGTAGCTTTTGAAGTTTCTAGCCTACTTGTAGAGGTGGAAATACATTAAAATAATCAAATAAATTCAGAAAAAATCCCCTAAAATCTCAGAACAGAATGCAGCAACCAAAGAAATAACAGAATTGAACGTTGGGGGACCTCATAAAGACTCCTAAAATGTCTCGAAAATAATTATTGCCAAAACAGTCACAAAAATATCTAATTCAGCCTTTGACGTATTCTTCTAAAATGAGCCTGAAATGGTCTCTCAACACATTGCCTATACTTGGATAAGGTATTGAGCTTGAATGCCTGATAATCTGTGATCTGTGAAGTTCTCTAGCTATTTAATGTCCAAACTTGATGATACAAGTATACTTAGGGTCTAATATTGGAACCAGAATTGAGGGCTGAAACCTAGGACATTTTCTATTATATGAAAAAGGTAGTATAAAAAAGCACTATAGCTACTACTCTTGGTGCCAGAAACCCAGAAGTGATTCTTCCGTTAGTTTATTGAGAGTTTTATTCATTTTTAAATGATTCTCTTTTGAATATTCTCCACTAGAGTGTGTATTTTTTGCGAATGATGATGGACCTGCTATTAGCATTTTAACTGCCTTAGGTATTATTATTTTTCTTTTTTAATTAATTTTTTGGTTATTAGTCATTGTTCTCTATGGTTAACAATTATGATCTTCATCGGCATTGAATTAGAACATTGATAAAGATGTTCCAGCTTGCTGTTATCTTATTTTTGAAATCCATTTGTTGTTACAATTCGAAGTTTGAATGTATTATGGATTCCTTGTTGTATTAAACTGTTAACAGACATTCAGACACCTAATGGATTTTATGCACTTCAAAACACATGAATAGCTGCATAGAGCTGACAATGAGTGTGATCTCGTGCAGGACCTGCAGGTTATGGAGATTCTAACTTTAGAACACTTAAGCCTATTGCTGTGGCTGGCAAAACTGGGATGGGGTCAACTGGTAGCCAGCAATACCCTCGTCAGAAATCAGAAAGCATGGATGTAAATCAGAAATCTAGATTGCCTCCAGAATCAGTTGAAGATAAGCCTAGCAGTTCGGGGACTAGACCAAAAGAAGGTGCTGCTTTCCTCTCATTCCTTTCTCTGATAACTTTCCATTGTCATGGTTTTCCAAAATTAGATTCATCTGGAGTTGATATCGTTGACTAATGTCTCTGTTGCTCTTGCTTCTGAACTAAGAGAAGAGTGTCTATGTAATAGTCTATTAATTGGGTTGCAACTCATAAATCCCCTAGGAAAATGTTGGAAGCAGCTGTGCAAAAAGGCAGTTTATGGATGGGGTTGCATATGGGTATTAAACCCAGTCGATGCTCCTATTGCCCCATAAATGCTACTTAATTCGTAATTGAATTACTGTTATTATTGATTGAGAATATTGTGTTACTTAGAGATAATATATTTTTGCCGTGGAAAGGAAATATCGGCATAAGTGATAATTTGGATCAAGGAGAATCCACCAGAGAATTGTCAATTATCTTTGAGAGGAACCTTAATGCATTTAGAAGTGAGGAGTGCCCATATATGGAGGCTCAAGGCATAAGAGAATTTACACCAATAAACTTTGGGATAAGGAAAATATACAATATTGTCCCTAGTATTTAACTTATTTAAAATAGCCTTAATACATAAAAAAAGCTTCTAACAAGAATGAATGACGATCTTAAATGCTATAAAGATAAAGTGTAGCCGAGTTAATTAACATCATGCATATGCTGCGCACATAATTATTCACAAGAGAATGACATTTGAGTCCCCTGTGAGGTACTTTAGTCTCTTGAAGCAATGACCCTTTTGAGATCAACAACTATGATACTGTATTGACAACTTTTTTTTTTTTTGGGTTTTTGGGAGTGGCCAAACTGTTAATAATTCCCTTACAAAGGTCCAAATGTCATCTCCCATTATTCAGGAGTTAATTTTTAACCAATTATGAGATGATTGTATTTTGCTTAAGAATTCACCATGGTTTGTAGTAACTTGACTAACTTTGCTCGTATTCAGAAAAGTGAGTTAATGTTAAGCGACATTGAATTTAGCATAATAACAACTAAATCTGGATTGGGAAAACACTCAAATTTAGTCTATTGCTATCAAATTAAAATGAGTTAAAGTGCTATTTTGTCCCTTGATTGTTTTTTATTTCAGGTGCATTGGGCACACCCTCAGGTTAAAGGCAGTGCAATGTCGCCTCTCATGTATTAAAAACGGAGTAATGTTGCTCCCTCATTAAATGTCCTTTAGTTTGACTGTTAGTTAATTTAGAAAATTACATAAATGGGTTCAAAAAATTACAAATTAATACCCTCTAAGAAAATTAATGTTGATAAAGTCATACAAATTACAAATAAATCTTAATTGACCAATGTTATTTCTTACTTACAAAAGACCAAAATATCATTTTAACTAATTATTTTAACCAGTTATTGAGTGATTATCAGACTACCATTGCTGACTGATGAGTAAAAAATATTATATTTGTTTTAAGAGCACCTTATTAAGATATGATACTTTAATATTTAATAATTTAAATTTAAATATGATTATTATTTATAAATCTTCCTCCAAAATTTATAAATGAGAGTACTTTCACTGATAAGGGAGAGTACTTAAATTGAGAAGGATCAAGAAAACATAGCTAGTTTAGAGCTTGGAGTTTGGTTGTTAGTAGTGGATTGAACAAAACGAGAAAATTAATACAGGAACGATGAAAATAGTGAAAGGCTCATAGAAAATTGTTGCTATAAAAGTCTTAGCATTTTTCACTGTATTTTATTAAGAGGTTTTGGCCTGTTAGTTTATCCAATGTTATATATTCTTTCTAAATGCCTATCAGGAAGCTGGGTTCGATCTAAACCAGTCCATTAAGTCATTCCTTTTGATTGACTGGGTGGAGTTGATGTAATTTTTGAAGTATCAGTAGGTTGATGCTATTCCTAGTTGGCAATTTTTGTTGCTAGCTAGTTGTTAGATTGAATGTCATGAGACTTTCTGTTTCTGTTAGCATCCATGTTGTTACAAATAGTCATTGACAATGAACTGCTCATCAGACAATTATTCAAATTATTTGAATGATGCGAAAGTGGAATTATGAGCATGTTTTAAATCATATATAGTGCCCAAGCCTTACTAGCTAACTTAAATCACAGGACTGGCTTCAATCCCTTTTCATTTTCATTTTTGATTATTGATTCCAATTATTGGAATGATATAAAAGTAAAATTACAAACTGATGGGTATGTGAATAATAGTGGGATTGGCATGTCAGCCCAAGTTTATAGGAGATAGAAAAAGATAAAGGTGAAAGGTGAGTTGGCAAAGGAGGAGGAAATCATGTAACGGGTTCTAACATATAGTGGTGGTAGGGAGTGTTTGGAGAGGCATGACAGAATTGGTGAGGAGAGTATTAGCCTCTCGAATGCTAGTGTGGGAGTGAGACCAGTGTGAGGTTCCATTTTGCTTGATGTTTTTCTTTGTGAGAAATCCTTTACTTTTATGAGCCATAAGTATAGGGAATATTTATTTTTATTGTGAGCATTGATTATAAATATTTTTGCCTGCCAAAGAAGTTCCCATACCTTGTAGAAATGGAGGTAATGAATGAAAATACAATTTTCACTTCTCCAAAATTTTTCTCTAGGTCGCATGATATTAGAGTGCGAGGTTCATACATAGCAATTTAGGGTTTTTGGGTTATGAATTGTATGTGGCCTCCTCAACTATGTTTTGGTGTGTTCATTTGCATGATGGTGGATGCATTGTTGACTTCTACTGCCAGCCCCATGAAGAAGAGGAGGTTCCAATCAGCCAACCCAAGTAAAACCTCAATGAATGGTGACATGTGTAGCTCACATGCTCCACCTCAACGTTTTGCACCCACCAACTGACTTCTAGAAGTGCGTGGGCATGCAAGTAGTTCAATAAGGCACCATGACTTGCTTCAGTGATGACTTGGTGATTTCGGCCAGATCCCAACATTTCCCAAGTCTAGGCAACTTTCTTTCAACGCATCTTGGTCATTTGTTTGCCATTTTGTGCTATGGCTTCAAGTTGTGGGGGCGTGGCTTCTAATTTGTCTGTGCTATGAGGGTAATTTTCTGTTTGATGTTGTAGGAGTGATAATACTCTTAAGTATCATGACTAATGTTCTTAGATCTATACCTATAGCATCAGTGGTGGAAAGTGGGTCCTTTCTTCAAGCCTAGAAGGCGTCTCAAAATGCAATAATATGGATTGTTGATTTAGGGGTATCTGATCACAGGACTAATTGTCATTTGTTTTTCACCGCTTACACCCTTTGTGTTGGGAATATTGAAGTAAAGATTGTAAATGGTTCCTTAGCACTGGTTGCTGAGAGAGGAAGTGTTCGTATATCATGTTCTATTGTTTTAGAATTTGTTCTCAAGGTGCCCAAACTCGATTGTAATTTGCTTTTGGTGAGTCAGAATATTGGTAAATTCCAGTGTGAGGTTTGTCAACATTCTAAACACCATTAAACTTTCTTTCTTAGAGCTAAGCATACACCTGCTAAACCTTTCACAGCTATACATGATGGTGACTTGTTGGGACCTCTCGTGTTGACAACCACACCAATAACAAGTGGTTTATTACTTTCGTAGATGATCTTCTTCGTCTTTGTTGGGTCTGCTTGTTTAAGGAGTGATAGTAAATTATAGGTTTAAGGTTTATAAGGTTTCATCTGTGTTCCCCAACTTTTATGCTATGATTAAGAATAAATTCTGATCAGCTATTCAAATTTTACACATTGACAATGGCATTGAATACTTTAACTAGTCTCTGAGTATGTTTCTTTAGGAACATGACATCATCCATGAAAGTACCCATGTCCATACCCGCCTAACAAAATGGAATAGCTAAAAGAAAAAAAAAAAGACATATTCTAAAAGTGACATGAGCCCTCATGTTCACTTGTAATGTTCCAAAATACTTATAGGGGGATGCTGTTCTCACTGCCATATATCTCATAAAAAAATGTTAGGTTGTGTATTGTCATTCGAGTTACTCTCCAAAATTACACCATGTATATCCTGCATCCCATGTTAAGACCAATCTTACCCTTCGAATTTTCTAGTTTACATCTTTTGTCCATCTTCACCAAAGTCCTAAACTTGACCCTGTGTAGTTAAATATATCTTTTTGGGTTATTCACCAACACAAAAGAGTTACAAGCGTTATGAAAGTGAGGAGCCTGATAAAGATAGAGATCCCACTTCAAAACTCACCTCCATTGCTTGAACCTTGTTCAATTGTGCCTGATTCCACTACCCATCACTAGTCCATCTACTTAGGTCAAAACTTGAGGAAAATAGGAAAATAAGAGAAGATATAGAAAAACTACAAAGGGGAATTGTCTCTTTATACTTGAAAGAACAAATCGTAAAATAGTGAGTAACTTTTACCTGAAGCACCAAGAGAGTCATACCAAGAGGCTGAAGTACTAGGAGACTTGGAACCTGGGGAAAATCTTGAGCACCTAGAGGCTGATTCATCCAGCAAGTCAGATGGTCCAAAACAAGTAATCGAATTTACTGATCTTGATCTTCCCATTGCTTTAAGGAAGCAACCTTGCTCATCTACTTTCTATCCTATAAAGATGTTTGTGTCTTGTAAGGCTCTTTCTCTAAGATTATGTGCTTTCACCACTATTATTGATAGGGTAAAAATCCCTAGCAATATCCATGAAACTCTTGAAATACCAAATGGTAGAAAGCTGTTTGGAAAAGAATAATACCTAGGAAGAAGTTGATTTGCCAAGAGCCCAAGAGGAAAGAAGCTTGCTGAAGGCAAATGGGTCTCTACACTAAAGTATAATGCTGATGGAATTTTGAAGGAATATAAAGCATGTCTTGCTGCCCAAGGGTTCATGCAAACCTATGGCATAGACTACAATGAGACATTTGCCTCAGTTGTAAAGCTTAACATAGTTAGAGTACTATTATCTTTAGCTGCAAATTTTGATTGGTCACTTCATTAACTAGAGATTAAGAATGCTTTCCTTAATGGTGACTTAGTAGTAGAAGTTTATATGACCCTTCCTCTTGATTTTGAAAACCAGAGCAAAAAGGGAACGATTAGTGAGGCCAATCTAACTATGCACTCTTTATAAGACAAAAGGAAGGAAAAGGGCCATACTAATTGTCTATGTGGATGATATTTTCCTAACTAGTGATGACATTGAAGAGATGGAGAGACTAAAGAAAGTGTTAGCTTCTGAATTTGAACGAAACGATCCACATCAAATGCATTATTTCTTAGGTATGGAAGTTGCTAGATCAAATAAAGGAATATGTATCTCACAAAGAAAATATGTCTTGATCTCTTGATAGAAACTAGATAATTGGTTGCAAGGTCAAAGACAGGAATGCATATCTCACAAAGAAAATATGTTCTTGATCTCTTGATAGAAACTGGAATACTTGGTTGCGAGCTATGTGATACTCCCATTGCAGTAAAGAAGAAGAAAAAGAAGGTAGAAGAAAGCAAAGATGGGGAAGAGGAAGAAGAGTGGGAAGAAGAAGGCCAGCTAGTTGATGAGAAGAGATCAGAGTTTGGTGGGTAAAGTAAGATACCTATCACTTGCGAATCTAGATGTTGCCTTTGGTGTAGGCTTTGTTAGTCAGCATGCGCACTCACCAAAGGAAATCCACCTACGAGCTGTGTACATAATTTTGAGGAAGGTTCCCCTGTAAAAGGACCATTCTTTAAAAAGGGTGAACAACCCAATGTAAAAATATTTACTAACACTGTTTGGGCACAAACTTCAAAGGATAGAAGATCCGCATATGGGTATTATACCTCTGTATGAGGAAACTTGGTAACTTTGAGGAGCAAGAAAAATGTGGCGGCCAGAAGGGCTGTAGAAGCTGAGTTCAGAGTTGTTGCTCATGGAATTTGTGAAGGCTTGTGGTTGCAAATACTTCTGAAAGAATTGTAGATTGATGTGGAATTACCTGTCAAGCTCTACTCTGATAGCAAGGCAGCCATAAGTATCTCCTATGATCCAATTCAACATGATAGAATAAAACATGTGGAAGTGCAAAGACATTTCATCAAGGAAAAAATTGAAAGTGGAATTGTGTGTCTAATATATGTCCCAACAAAGAAGTAAGTTGCTGACATCCTCGCCATGGGACTTTTAAAAGAAAATTTTGATGAATGTGTGAGCAAGTTAAACATGATCAATATCTATGATTTAATTGGAGGGGAAGTGTGGAAAATCATTTACTTTTATGAACCTTAAGTATGGAGAATATTTACATTTATTGTGTGCATTTTTTGTAAATATATATTTCTCCTATTAAGTTTCCATGCCTTGTAAATTTGGAGGGAATGAATGAAAATACATTTTTCACTTCTCCAAAATCTGTTTCTAGCGCGTACTGTTCCAGTGAGGTCTTCGGCTAGGCTGTGTTTTCTGAATTAAACCTATCAGTTTCTCACTGAGGTGGTTGGTTTGATTGTAATTACTCAATAGTTCACAGTTGTTAATGGGATAATAGTGCAGTTCCATCACAAGCATACTGTAAATTTTATAAAGCTCACTATCTAACTTAAGTTCCGGGATTTGCTTCAATCCCATTTTATTTTTATTATTGATGATTCTTTTCTTCTGTTACTATGTCTAAGTTACAGGGTTGTCTAGATCCCCCCCCCCCTTTTTTCTATAGATCCCATTCTTTTCTCCTGTTGTAATGCTGTGATCTTATCCTTCTTCCATATAGTCGTGGAATCTGTTCCTATTCAAAATCAAGCAGCTGCCCAGAAATTACTTCAGAAACTGAGTCAACCAAATCAGGAGCGTCAGCCCCGCAAGGGTCGGAAACGTAGGGACAAGGAGAAGCGAGAAGATACAACTGTTTTTACTCTTGAAGAATATGAAAATAGAAAACATCAGGCAAAGCATCCTATGACACAAGGGGAGATTCCTGATAACAGTCATGATGAAAATCTTGCTTGGCAGCTTCAGAATCAATTAAACGTGAAGGATGCTCAGGTCAGTATCTTAGAGTTTGATTTTGTTCTCATTTTTTTTTTAAAAAATATATTTTGTAAACCAATTTTTAAATACTGTTTTTCAAAACAAGACGAAATGAAAATTAGTTTGTTCATGTTAATTTGAAAACAATTTTGGAATGGACCAATAGTAGCGGTCGACAATGATTAATGATAATGCTGGTCATAACTAAAGATAATATATTACTGTCAAATGTAATGTGTTTTAAAAATTAAAAAAAAAAAGGTAAACAAAAATAGCTCTAAGTTGTTTAATCTTTTGTTTTTAAAATAATTTTGAAAACATTTAAATCCAAGACACTTAACCATGCAATTTTTTTTTTTTTGTTTTGAAAAACAGAAAACAAACTGGCCCTTATTTTCCTCTAACTAACTTTCACACCATCTTATAAATCCTTTGCTTTCTTCCTTACAATTTTGCTCTGCTTCTTCCAATGTCCATTTTGCAACTTGTTTTAGGTACAGAGGGGTTATCATGAAGCTAATGTGGAAGATATTAGAATGAGTATGTTCAATTATGAAAGAGAGGATAGTAGCCAACACATGGGATATGGAGGACGAGGAAGAGGGAGGGGAGGGGGAGGGGGAGGGGAAGGGGGAGGTGAAGATCTGATTAGCCATGACTCTCTTCTCTTCTATGTTTCAATCACCTTCTTGACTGATTCTTAACTTCTGTGCTTGCCTTTCTTTGGCCTTGCAAAGTACACAGAATGAAATGGAATGTAAAATAGAGTGGAAAGAAATTGACGTCTTCAGAGAAAAATGGTGACCAGATTTTTCACCACTTCTCAAACAGGTGCGGATAAAATTTTGAAACAATGCAAACTCAAGAGAAGTAGAAGGGCTAGCTCATTTGCTTTTAATGTTGTATTTGTAATTAAAAAAACTCCTTAAATATGCAAATGATAAAAAAAATAATAAAAAAGGACCACAAAATGTTAAGATCATTCCACAATTTCTAAGGATTTTCTGGTATTAATGTTTTTCAAGAAATAAAAATTGCCCCTAATTTGATTTGATTATTTTGGGTTATTGACTATAACTTAATAGTTAACAATAACTAATTTTTTTTACAATTTTTTTAATAATTACTTCGATTGTGTTATTGATTAGAATTGAGTGGTAACTAATTTTTCGAAACTTTTTTTAATCATTTTAGAGTAAGAGTCTTAAAATCAGTAATTATTTCTTATTTGTGAGGGGCAACTCTGACTAGGCCAATGATTATAATTAAGTAACAACTAACTTTCTGGAACTTTTTTAATCATTTAAGTGTAAGTTTGGAGGTGAGTAACTTTCAGATTTGTTAATGACTATTTCGACAAGATTATTAGCTGCAACTAATGAAAATTATAACACTAGTGACTACTTTGTTTAAGTCAAATTGCTTGGTCAATTGCAACTGAGTTCTTATTTTATTTTATTTTTTTTATAATTAGAATTCAAGTTCATGGCTCCTAGTAACTATTTCAAATAAGTTAGGTCATGTTTCATTACTAGAAAGGAATTAAATAAAATTGATTAAAAATAAAAATAAAAATTAAATCATTATTTTTTATGATAAGAATGATAAAACTCATTAACATTTATTATAAATGTAGGAATCATAACACTCTCCAATCTCATAAATCATGATTTCTAACCCTATAAATTAATTACCCCTCTCTATTATGAATAAAATTCACTTATCATTTTTTATCATTTTATTTTTACTTTATTTTTTTAATCCATTTCATTTTAATTTTTTTTATTAACCAAACGGGACTTTAGTGATTATTTTGTTTTGCCAATAACTAAAATTACTTAGATCGTGACAACTCAGTTTCAATTTTTTGCCCTCATCGGATTCAAGTTAATAGCTTGATAACCTGGTTGCTTTAACGCCAGTTTTGTCCCAATCCATCATGAATCATTGTATTTGACAATTTATTGGTAATTATTAATAGAAATAAGGACGCGTGTAAGCTTTAATGGGATACAGTAAATGACAGACACTCAACTCAAAAGTACTTGCACGCACAACATACATAAATACTTATGAGAGGTATGTGGAAATCAACAGAAGCAATGTCTACGGAGTAATTGAAAGAAATAAATTATCAAGCACTAGTAACATCTTTCTTCATATGGTATATCTGCTCCAATCATTGGTTCATTTCTTTACGCTAACATTTGATATGAAAATTATTAGTTTGTAATTGTAACTAGTAAATAGTAAGTTCCTTTCTTTGGGCTTTCCAAATACCACTGAAAGAAGTTGGTAAAAAAAAAAAATACCACTGAAAAAAACTCCCTTATAGAGATTTTTTGCTCATGTATGCTAGAATATCTAGAAGAAAAGATGCAAAGTCATTTATTCTGAAGAAAACTATCTTGCCAGGGACATCACCTTCACCTGCACCCAAGACATTATCAATAATCTCAATATGCATTCGAAACTTATCAACAATCATCATTGGACTCATGCAAAATAGTGCTCTATTGATTATGGCTGGATAAGATTAGACATTGACAGTTTTGTTACCAGCAACAACTTTGTTGCCTTTGGAGGAATTATAGAAGACGATCAGAAAAATTGAATTATAGGTTTTTTCTAAATGTCTTGATTATTATCTCAGCATTATTGCAAAACTTATGATATCCTAGAAGGTATTAACCTTTGTTGGAATAGTAATTCACTTAGGTCAACATTTGCTTAGCTTCAACAAATGCCTTCACACTGATTCAACAAGAACCACTTTCTCTTAAATGCTATTAATAAAGATTAGGGACTTAGACTGTAACTTTCAATCATGTGTTTAGATAAGTGTGCGGATTAGTTGACTTGTCATGCTTCAAACAACAATTTAAACTCCACAAATTTTATTTACCCACCCTTAGGGTGTAGAAGTATTATTTGCTTTGACTTGAATTGATTTTGAGAGAGAGAGAGAGAGAGAGGGCTCAATTTTGAATATGTTCTTTAGTGGACTTAGCTTCAATCATTGTTAGAGATGGAGCTGTTATTGGGTTCAGAGAAAGAGGGGGCGAGGGGCGATCGAGGGAGTTGGATCCAGGTTTTGTGAGATAATTACGTTAAAAAAAATTAATTCCACAAAATTTCTCTGGGATCTCAAAGTGATTAGACCATTCTGGGTTCTAATATAGGATTTTCCTATTCATCAAGATTTTCCGATCATTCTTTCTTATTTTATTTTTCAAAAAATATTTTATTATTTATTTCCTAAAAGAAATATTTAAATGACATTTTTTTCTCGATTTTAACTCATGCTTATTTCATTCCATTGGCCGAACATGTATGCAAGTCTGGATTTCATGTGCACACATGTGATCGAAATGTCAGGTATCGGATTTTTTCCCTCTTCCAATTAGTAATTGCTCCATATTAACAAACCTTAATTTTTTTTCCGGCCAATAATGAATTTTGAGATTATGGCTTCAAAGGACTGACTTGGAAATATTTTCGAATATAAAATGATGAACTACCCCTTAAAGTTGGAAAAGTGAATACATCTTGCATCGAATTACAGAATATGCGCATGCGAAAATCAAATATTTTCTTGCAAAAACCGAACAATTTCTTGTAAAAATTTTATCGAAGTTTCTCTAAAAATTAACAAACAAACTCTAATTATTGATAGGGATATATGAATACCAACATTTCCTTGAAAAAACTTTATCGTTTCGCAAAGAATTAACAAGGAAATTCCAATTATTGACAGAGACACGTTCCTTCTTTTATAAGTGCATATATGGTTGCCACGTGTACATGTTCTGTTTTTCTCCAAGTTTGAAAAAAAGAAAAACAGGGTAATTAATAAGTAAACTTAGGTTTTTTACAAGGAATTTTTTTATTTTTTTCCAAGCCTAAATGTAGTTACCACATATTGGAAAATTTTATCTAAGTTTTTTAAAAAAAAATAACAAGAAAACTCTAATTATTGATAAGGATATGTTCATTCTTTCACAAGTGCATGTGGTTTCCATGCATACACGTTCTGTATTTCTCCAAGTTTGGTGAAAAAAAAAAAAAAGAAAAGGGAGAACAAGCAGCATGTATCCTAAAAGAAAGTTAATATCAAATTAGAATTTTGTCAATACTAAAGTTCTCAAATTCAATACTTCTTTCCTCATATTTAGTACTGAAAATTCTTAATTTGACATTAACTTTCTTATAAAGTCTTCATTTGTCATTCTCCCAAAAAAATATTGGAAAATTAATAAGTAATCTTAGGTTTATATAAGGAAATGTTCGGTTTTTTTTTTTAAAAAAAAAGAAATGTTCAGTTTCATGCATACAAGTTATGTATTTCTATGCAAAATGTTTCTCTTTTTAAATCAGTAGTCCTCTAATAATTTCATGTTTGAAAATATTTTCAAGTCAGTATTTTGGGCTTGCAAAGAATATTTAGATTATATTGTTAAATGAAAATTCAGACTATAAATTATAGGTTCAAAGGCGATTTCAATTCTAAATTCATATTTGATATAATTTGAATCCTCAATAATTAAATTTGAAGCAATCTCGCCCCCACCATTAATTTAAAATTAATGTTTGTTTGCTTTAAGCATAGGGGGCACATGCTTCTTTATTTTTAACACTATTTTTGCCATTGTCCTGCTTCTTTGTTTCTAATCCATGCTTCTTGTTGACAGCCGGTGGCAAATCATGAAACTCGTTAGGTTGGCTAGAAGTGTATATATATAATTTCTCACCATTAACTAGACTCTACAACAATTAAATTAAAATCATTACAAAAACATATGAATCCAAATCACCTATATTAGAAATCAATATCTAATTTACTAAAAAAGAAAATAAAATTCTAAATGACCTCGCACGGTTATTTATGAACTTGGCTCCTTTCAAAGCAATCAAAATGACACAAGCTAGTGCAATCTTGAATCTAGCCATCATAGCAAACCCTCTAATGTACCTTTGAAGACATCTTTCATCGTGGTCAGGTCCACACTAAACAGAATGCTCAACCCAAGTCAGTCAATATGATTACTCGCACTAAATCATCCCTGTTTAGCCTCTTGAATGCTTGGGACAAGCCAACCATCATCAACTTGGGCAATGAGTTCAAAGAACAAGGTTGATTAATCGTGATCAAAGCGATGCTATTTGGCTAGCACTAGATAAGTATGAGATTTTTCTTTAGCAACGACAACACTAGTGGACCTTAAACTCGTACATTGAAAAGTATTTAAAGAGTACAAATTGGGATTGTTATCGGAGGATCTGTCCTTGAAGTTGTTATGGGAGAGGAATTTCTGTAGAAGGGTGGGGGAAGAATTTTTATAGAAGGGTCTTATAGAGAGAGGGAGAGGAAGCAAATGCCACCAGGAAATGTAAAGAGGTAGAAATGTAGAGAGAGAGAAAAATCCAATCCCACCTATTCGATGTAATGCTCTCACGACATTATGGTATAACACACAATTCCAACACTTGTATAATTAGATTAAAAAAACCATAAAGGATTGGGATCTCACTTAAAACCTTTTGGAAAATTATTTCACATTGTTAAAATTCTTAAATATGCCCACCAAAAGTATATAGATTGCATATATAAAGCACAAGAAGAAAACATAAGCAAAATGGTGATTTTTGGTTGAATGAGCCATATGTATGATATGTGGCACATGCATTGTGGCATGTGGTGTAAAGCTATATCTTCTCGTTTTGTGACATACACCGCAACATGTATACCATGCACTGCGGTGCATGTATGAAATTTTGCTGTCAGATAGCACTTTTGATACAAAATTCTAAAGTAAGCTATTTTCACATAAATGTTTTGTCTTAATCTGATATTCCATTTGAAAATTGGACACTAAGACGAAAATGATCGTTTTAAGT